GGTACAATAGTAAAGCGCGTCATTTCTTTTAGATAGGTGGAAGTTGGAACGAGAGGCAATTGTGTGATTGTCGGATTGTCCTGCCTTGAAAGGAACGCTCATATCAGCATCAACAGACAACAACCTGTTAATATTCACGGACTGCATACAATAAACCAGCGCCCCGTAGGGGGTTGGGCCGAAACGGCCCCCCCCCCTGTTCTTTTCGGTCGATATCTCCTAAACGGCTGGAGATATCGCCACCAAACTTTCAGGACCCCTCCGGGCATCAATTTTACACATTGTGACCAAAAGTTTATCCAGAGGCTATGATAGGTTGGCCACAAATGACGTCAGAATGACGTCATATTCTGTCATTTTCGACCGAAAAAAGACCTTCGCGAGAGGACCTGTCAGGCCTACAGCTTTGAAGATACAGAAAAATGATCAAGACTTAAAAGGTGTAGAATTGACAGGGCTACAAAACTGCTATCTCGGATTTTTGAAATTTTTGAGTTTTGACCCCCAAAAATAAAAAAAAACATTTTTTTGATATATTAGCCAAAAAATCCAAAAAGCTTTTATTAAGTTTCGAAAAAAGGAATATACGAGTATGTGATAGTGCCTACCGTCTTCTATCTACATACCAAATTTCAGATCGATACCTTGTTTTTTGGCTAAGTTATAGCGAAAAAACTGTTCAAAAATGATGACGTCAAATTTTCAAACTCAATTTTTGGCACTTCTAGACCTCGTAGAGCAAAACAAAGACCACCATTAGACTCCCCGTGACGAGCTGCATCGAATCGATACCCATTTTATGCAAAATATCAATTTTGAAATTTGACCTAATTTGACCTGACCTTGACCTGACTTTCACCAAAACATGACCTAGGCTGGCCCCAAAGGCTGCCTAACCCACATAATCGCATTTGCCATGTAAAATGGACCATAAAACATTATCACACGACACTTTCATATTGTGACCCCGGTGACCTGACCTCGCTGTGACCTGACCTGGTATCAGTGACCTCAGATAGCAAAGTATGTGTTTGACGAACAATGTACCATCGATGGTTTTCAATAAATTACCAATTTACTCGATTTCACAACACATTTCTTGAAATGCCTTTGAACGGTGAAAATCTGACCTTTGACCTGACCTGTGACGTCATCGGTTTGACCTAGGTCAGTGAAATTTGGTCCCAAGGTAGTTCCCGGGTGGGGCTATCGAACGCCCTTTGGATTTTGAAAATCGGCCGGTAACTTTCCGAGATCTTAGGGGGGCGGGGACGAAACGCCCCCCCCCCCCCCCTACGGGTGGTAGGGTCCGCCGGTAGCCCTACGGGGCGCGGGTTAAGGTGACCAATTTTCATCGAAAGGTACGGACTGCATCCAATTAAGGTGACCAATTTTCATCGAAATGTATGTATACTGTATAGGTTTATTAACCCTCGCCCGCACATGGGGGGGGGGGGGTGGTTGCCACCCCCCAGGTAGTCTTTCTGCTCTGCACTCAACATTTTTAGAGCTAGAAGGCTGATTTTTCGTATAGCCGCTCCTCTATCCTTTCTTGATGTCCACTGAAAATGTCAAGTTTCTGTGATTTTTGGTTTCGGAGATATGACCTTGTTTTTCAGGTCATGTCATGACCCAAATGGCCAATTCTCAACATCTTGCGTTTGCCATGGGCCTTGTGAGCTTTTGACACCCTGATTTCGGCCTTTTTTGCCAGTCTTACCTCTCACTTATCATGGAACATGTTGTTCGACGATGTATAGGGGTCAAGGTCAGGGTCAAGGTCAACTTAGGTCATCTAAGATAATTGCGTTTTAGGCAAGCCGAATTTACTTTTTGTGAAGTTTTTTGACTGCATTTTTGGTAAAAGCTTCTCAAATCATGATTTCATGTAATATGGACCCAAAAACAATCGGTGCACACATCAGTATACACACAGACACACACAGACATACAAACACATATAATTGACCTTGACCTAACTTGACCTGAAATGACCTCAGCAGCAAAATTCTGGTCGGGTAGTGTGACAAAGAGGTTCTAGCTGGCTTGGCACCAGAAAACAGCATCGTCATCGGTATTTGATAAGCAGCGCACTTGATATCCAACGGTGACCCAAAACAGCAACATTTTTTAGTTTGACCTGACCTGGAAGGTCAATGACTGACCTGAGAAGGTAAAACTGGGTATCATTGGATTCGTCTCTTCCCAAAGAATTTTTTTGGTCTTTACCGCTAAGCTCCATCTCCAACAGGAACGAAATGGCGCGGGGGGGTGTGGCAACCACCCCACCCCCCCCACCCCCCACCCCACCATGTGCGTTCTAGGATGGGAAAATGGCATGTGCGGGCGAGGGGTTATCGAGATGCGATTGCTAAAAACACAATCATTTAGGACCTTGGAGCTGTGACGTCCAAAGAGAGGTGACAACTGACAAGTATAGCGCATTGTGGCCACCAGTTACTGTCCCCTCTCCTTCATCTTCGCCTCCGCCCTACCTACGTCTCCTTATCGGAACTGCCCCCCCCCCCCGCCACTAGCATGCACAGTACGCCAACTTTATATATATAAGTTCACATTCCCAATATACTTTTTAAAGCAAAGTAAAAATAGGTAGGAGAGTTCTTATCGGTAGTGTCGGGGCACGCACAGGGACGCGCCGAGACGCGCTATGCGGTGCAGCCGGCGCCCAGCGGGCGGTGGCCGGGGATCATGTGGCCCGGCGCGTGTCAGTCGCCGACCGGAGACGCGGGCTGCGGCGTACTTGTACCGACTTAGTTAACGACTGCTGTTAAAGACTTCTTTTTGCTGTTGACTACATTTTGCGCATCAACTTTTCGCGCACCTATTAACTATTTGCTTGTTGACTTTTTGTGTGTTGACTTTTAGCGTGTTGACTTTTGAGCATGTTGACTTTTAGCGTGTTGACTTTTAGCATGTTGACCTTTCGCGTGTTGACTTTTAGCGTGTTGACTTTTAGGCGTGTTGACTTTTAGCGTCTTGACTTTTTGCGTGTTGACTTTTAGCGTGTTGACTTTTAGCGCGTTGACTTTTTGACATGTCGGCTTTTTGTCTATTTGACATTATGTCTTTTGACTTCTTGCGTGTTGACTTTTAGCTTGTTGACTTCTGGCGTGTTGACTTTTTGGCAGGTTGACTTTTTGTTCATTTGACATTTTATCCTTTGACTTCTTGCGATGCTGACTTTCTGTCTGTTGACTTAATGTCCTTTGACTTTTTATCCGTTTACTTTTAACGTTTTGACTTTTCATCCGGGAATCGCTAACAGCTATGCCGAACTTTTTTGTGCATGGTGATTCTTACACGAAAAGCTATCTAATAGCCTGCTTACCAGCGTGCGATTTTTACTTTTCATCTTAGGTTTCGCTACTTTTAGGTACTTTACCTTGCCAAGTGCCCACCTACTTTCAAAAGGTCAGCGCCGCCCCTGTCAATGCTGCGTGCTATCACCCATTGGCAGTGAGAAATATTGATCAATGAATGGCCATCGCCCAGCACCATTTGTCTTTCCATTGGCTACGTTCGCATAGTATGCACTATGCATTAGTGATGTCAATCACAGAAAATCATAACACCGCTACCAAACCAAATACAAACAAAGACCATTGGAAAATACCGAAACCGAACCAATCGGTTGGACTGCAAATATCTATCTTATGCAACATATTCATTAGAAGAATGCCTACGTCTGATTTCTTAGGTGCACGCCGTTACAAATGTATAAAAAACGCACAATGACAGATGACACGAAAATCGAAGTCACCGAGTGGATTCGAACCACCTACCTCTGTAACACCAGTCCGATATTCTAACCACTTCGCCACGGCGATAACGTACCCCATGTAGCTTAAATGTCAATAACTTAAAACCTAGCTTCAATAGACGCCACCAGGGTGAGGACCGAAAGTATGACGCCACGCTGACGTCACTCAGGAGGCAAGCTATTGGTTGGCCGATTCGTGTAATACAATTGGCGAATACGCGTCCCCCGGTGGGGCAGGGTAACCTTTGACCGGTCGCACGGCCGAGCAGCTGTCACCAGTACAGCCTCTGACAGTGAAACCCCGCTCACTTCCCCTGCGCGGGCACTGATCGCAGCTGGATGGAACAAAACATGTAAAAGAAAAGTGTAAATTAAAGCATGTTGTAAATCAAGCAGAATAATGAATTTTCTTCACAGGTATCCTGAATAACTTTAATAGCGATGTGGATAGTTAAAGTGACAAATATGCCATTTGTTTAGCAGAACGAGAGCCGAACGTTCTTTCAGTGGCCGGTCAGGCGGGCCGAGAGCGCCGGGTCTGCGAGTCGATAAGGGTCATTTCACGCTTCTGTGTGGCTGACTTTGGTCCATCGTGACACTGAGCTGTGTGATTGCACCTTATTGTCGGCTGTGGGAGACGCATATTAATGTTTGGAAATATTGTTTCACTAAATATTGTTCTTCAGGCGTTCAGCTTTCACTGGAACTCAAAAATGCATGTTTATGTTTTCAAGAATGTCCGGGACAGCCCGTTGAATAAAATATTATTAAGTTTTTACAAAAACGCAATTTTCAAAAAAGGCCATCGATCGATTTTGATAAAAATTACATTTTTGGATTCAGCTCACCGTCAGTCTTCGAATGGTATATACCGTTTCTTTTGAGCCTGAGATGACCTTCCGACGAACCGTGGGAGCTGGGCCATGGATGGATGCCACAAGGGAGCTCCGTGGCCGAATGTTACGCATGAGGCAATCCGAATGACAAAGGCGGTCGTGACTTTGGTATGCCGGGGCCGATCGATCGCGTAAATATCGCACACATTCCAGCTGGCCACACCGGCCGGCCGGACAGGGGCTGGTCCCCACAGGGGCTAGTTGTGTCGGCCGGCTGACGTGACTTCCAGGAACCCGAATGGAACATGCACCACAAGCCATTTACGTAACTACAACACCGGCCCATGCACCCGCCCGTGTTGTACATGCATCGAACCAGACGCTGTGGCGTCACGGACCGTCCTTGGCACGCTGCATACGAGTGCATTCCGTGTCCAGGGGCACCGGTCGTGGGAACACGGGCGCACACCATCCGCCGATCACCCCGGGCCGGGCCCGCCGATCGCCCTGACACCGGCCACGGGGTACCGCCGGCACCCAAGTCACTTGAAGGATCGCGTCGAATCGATCGTCGTTGGTGACGATGCCGACGGCGGCGGCGGCGGCGGCGGCACGGTCCGGTCAGGCGCGTCGGTGACGGCGGCCGCGATGGGTGTGTGTGCCAGCAGCCCGTCGGCGGGTGCCGTGCTCAGCCCCGGGTCACCGGCCGGGTCGGACAGCAGTGACAGCGCCGCCACGCAGAGGGACTTCGAGAATGGTGAGAGACGGCGCGGCGGGGTGAGGTGGGGAGAGGATCATGGGGGGAAGCCAGGAAAGGATGTGTCATGGGATTGAAATAAGGAAAGTCCCACATGCCATATGAGGATGGGGGAGTGAGTGAGCGGGCAGGGGCTGGTCAACAGGTCAAATAGGGTGTAAGAACGGATGAGAGGGATCATCAGACCCATGAGACGAGCGAAAGGTAGAAGGGATAAATAGGAATTAGGAACTGGTGAATGAACAGGAAAGAATGTTGACTGTAGTTGTGAACTTGAAGGGAAGTAAACGAGACTGTTACCTGATACCTTATAGAATGAAACGGGTCTGGCATAAGGTTGTCACATCTGCGACATTTTTTTTTTTCGTTGTAATTTGTGCGTCCATGCTCCATGCCATGACAAAATTCAAGTGAGAAAGAAATGCACTTCTCATCTGGTGCGAGGGAATAGAAAGAACAGGTTGATTATTTTGCAAAACAGAGTCTTGTCGTTGTCAGAGTCCTTTTTTTTTAGCCGGCAACAGCATGCATATGCCATGCCATTGCAGGTCAAATAGAACCAGTCCCATTCCTCTTTCCATCTCCGTATAGTGTCAGAGCATTAGCAAGAACTCCGAATGATAATTCATTTTTAGTGACTAAATGTAATGAACCGATGAAATGCGTTACATAAATGCGGAGCTCCCGTCCTAGCGCTCATAACATCAAAATTGGCTTCAGTCGCATTGCAGGGCTGGCCCGCATAATGCATGTGTGATCTACCCACGATTAGCTATTCTCCCGGAATCTGATTTCGCTCTAAATGCAAATCGAGGTCATTTGTTCCGCATGTTTCCCACAGAGACCTTGTTATGGCGGTAAGCTGAAAGGTGTCCTCCGCAGACCAAACGCTGCTTAGCACACATTGTGAGTGTGCCATTCGTCACAGTATAAGTAGGACCACAAACGCCCAGATTATCACATGGCGTGCCACATGGCAGTCCCTGACTTATGATGGTTGTGTCAACAAATAGGTAAAACGATCTGCCATTAATAATGTATCAGCAAGCACCTATAACTGGGCACTACCTGTCTGCACATATCTACTGATCATTAAATATCTGAGCATTATGTTGCGTCGAAAAAAAAACGAGATGCGAGAAGAGCACAGAGTGGGAAACTGGAAAGATAGCGAAAAATGTGGGCCGCGGTACATTTCGTGGTGCATAAGTGAACAATGAACATTTCTAATGCAGGTAAACATCAATTGCGGCATAGGTTGTTTGGAAGACGTAAGCACATCACCGGAAGGCGTAAGCTCTCGCCTCAATGATACAAAACGTTTAAAACGCCAGCTGCTGAGGTCTTTGACGTCAGTAAGCGGCTTACAGTGTAAATACCGCCCACGTTGTGTCGTGATGTCATTTTTCCTACCCTGTATTACGTGTAATTCCCGCCACCGTCTGCCAGAAGCGACATGTAAATAATGGACGTCGAGTAAACATCACAGCGCGGCCAAATGGTAATCCAATAACCACCGCCCCAGTGTACGGAACTGCTGCACTAAAGGTCATCCTGTGGTCAGATCAATGGTCGGTGCCGTGGTCCAGGGCTCGGCCGGACAGACAAGGCCCGTTTACTTGCGCCCGCGACATGAACAATTCCCATGTTGGACTCGAAGACGGTAACCATAACAAACAAAATACACAAAAAATAAATGAACTTTTAGCAGCAGTTCCTCGGTCCAAGTTAGCTTATCACTGGTGTCCGCAACTGCTGACTGAACATCGGCTACCGGAGGTCGGAGCGACGTTAACCCTATGCGGTAATCCCTATCTCCTATCTCCCTATCCCTATCCCCTCGTAACCACAGCACAGCAGCTGGGACGGAAATCCAGCCGGGGGTGTCTCAATGGGGGGGGGGGGGCGTCCACCCCGGCGGTGAGATAGGCGGAAACCGGGACATACGGTTCTAGCGAACTCGTGACCAGTGCAGCAATTTACACAACGTTCCGGGCGTGTTGTAAGAGGAAAAAGTCCGGACACGACATAGGGGATGGCGTTGGGGCAATGGTGCTGTCGACATGTATGGCAGGCATCTCCAAAGCTGATGGGCACGTTGATGCGTTCTTGTAATTACTGTATCGGGATAATTATTTGCATTTAGGTCTGAGCGGTTTCAACAGATCCGTTATTGAAATGGAATGCTGCGCAAAACTGTGAAGTGCACTGTGTAAAATCCCCTCCCCGTTCCGACAGGGATTGACAACTCGTCCCTGGAGATCCCGGCGGACGGCGGCTCACCCTCGCACGCCCCCGCCGGCCGCAGGGTGTCGTTCTCGCTACCGGAGCAGGCCGGGACGTCGGGACCGCTGCAGGACTCCCCATCCGGGGAGGATTCAGTTAGCCAGCTGGAGGCCAAGGCCGCCTCCTCTGCGCACCTCAGCCCGGCTGACGGTGGTGTAGGTGGAGGCGAGGGTGGTGAAAGTGCACCTGGTGATGGTAACGGAGATGGTGGAAACGTGAATGGCAACGGTGAAGGCAACACGGGAGGCGAAGGTAACAGCCAGCCTAACGGTAACGGTGACAGCAACGGTGACGCCGCTAACAACGCTGAGGGACAAGAAGCAACGGAATCTCCGCAATCGAACGAAGGAGCCACTGACGAAGCAGCTCAAGAGAAGCCGACGGAGACCAGCGAGCAAGGGGCCGGAGAAGCGGCAGAGGAGGCTCCGCCGAACGCCGAAACGTCCGGTACTGAGGGGGCGGCGGACGGAGAACAAGCGCAAGAGACATCTGGCGGCGGAGATGCCCCACTAGAAGCGGCAGATCAGCCGACAGACGGCGCTGCAGCGGACACGGGTGGCGACGGTCCTAGCTCGGCCGATGGCGACCAGGGATAAAAGGAAACTATCGCACCTCTCAAATATCATATCAGATTAGCCAACACCAATGTGGGAGCATCAGATAATCGCTCGGGTTCCGCCAATTGCCGTATGGTAATGAAAAGCTTTGGAACTGTTACCGTATTTGCGGTCGAGCACATCCGTCCAATCGTGTGCAAATATTGTATCTTTTGGATGAACGTTATCGACTTTCAGATATTCTATTTCACGCAAAATGTTGCAAAGGAAACTGCGTAGTTCGGTAGGCATATGTCTTGGCCGCCGTCCATGACCATTGCCTACAGACGATAATTTTCGGATAGATATCAAGTGTCCATGTGAACGCACGTGCAATCGAAATCAATACATCGATCGTAATATTTACGAATACAAGTCCGTGTTTCATTTCTACACTCATTAGAAGTTGATAAACAGAAATTAACAGACAAGGCACTATGATTCACACATTTATGTATTCATTGCATTGTCCAAACCTCAGCACTTCAAAAACTGCTCCTTCAAATTTACAAAATGTGAAATGATCTCACACACCTCATGAGGTACACTACACCACAGTTGCGTCCCGCCCGACCTCTCACGTCTGCTGACCTGCCTCCCACGGGTCAGGTCAGGTCAGGTCACCGGGCCGGCGAGGTCATACCGTCAGCCACGAGAAGTCCATGTTGAGCAGGTTGTCCAGCCTTGTCTCCAGCTCGGCAGGGGAGATTTCCTCCTCCTCATCCTCCTCCTTGTCGTCGTCGTCGTCGGCGGCGGCGGCGGCGGTAGCGGCGGCGGCACTGTCGTCCTTCTCCCCGGAGTCCGAGTCGTCTCCCTGTCCCTCCGGCTGGGGAGTCTCCGTCATCTCCACGTCGTCACTGGCAGACACAGAGAGGCGCGTTAGTAGCAGGTCAGTGAACAGCGCACGGGCAGACAACAGACAAAGTCAAACCCAAAACTAACCAGGGTTGGCAGGGGGTGGCAAAAACTGGTTTTTGCCAGTGGTTTAAACCGGTTTAAACCTGCTGGCAGAAACCCTGGTGGCAAAAACTGGCAAAAACTGGATAAAACTCAGGTGGCTTAAACCACAACTGTTCTAGTTAGGAATGGATCTGAAATGTACAAATGCATTTCTGGATGTTATAGAGATGCACCAAACATTCTGAAGTTTGCCTGATTACTTATCCCTGCTTAAAATGTCTATGCATGTCGGTAGACATCCGCCACAGAATGTATTTCCATGTAGGGGAGAGTGGGGCAAAGCTGCCACGGTAGGGTGCAGTGCGCATATCAGTGGCAGATACCCCTTCGCACTTCTGATTGTGCAGGACTCGCTCTTGCATTGGCTCATTTGTCAACCCCAAAGGCGTCTTAGTGGTTCCTTATGGAAAGCCCATGAAAGTGTTTTTGAGTTATAGAACACTTCAACGGTCAATGTCACTTCTGTTTGAAAGCATAAAGCTTTCACCGAATTCTCCTTAAAATGTTTCATGTTCAAATCCATGTCCAGGCATATCATTGTGATGGTTTTTAGTTTTTGCCAGTTTTTGCCACTTTTTGCCGGTTAAAACCGGTTTAAACCGGCAAATGGCATAAACTAGTTTTTGTCGGCAAAAATGCCAACCCTGAAACTAACAGAGCAACACCACTGGCAGACACAGAGAGGCGCATTAGTATTAAACGGGGCGAACAGGGCACGGGCAGCCACACGGGCGGATACAGATGGACAGATCTGTAGAAGGAACAAGCGGTTGAATAGTGCCTGTCGGTAGGTATAGCTGGACCCACAAAAAAGGCTTCATTATCAAAAGTTACTCAGACAGTCGCATTTTATGAAAATGGACGGACGCATCGAGGGTCGAAGACAAGACTCGCTACATAGATACCAGACAACAACCATACTTAATCACCGCGCTTTCTCAGCTCCTCTCCCTCTCTCCTCTATCTTCCTATCTCCTGCCAATTCTCTGGCTCTCTTACCTGACAGGTGGCGGAAGGAGCCCCAGGAGGAACGGCAGACATATCCGCGTCAGAGGAGGCATGGTGTGACTCGGCCCCTCGAGCAGCTGAAACACGGCAGACGTCACAGCCTCACAGGTCGGGTCAGCTCAGGCTGTCATGAAATGGGCGCTACAGCTTTTCGTGAGCGATAATGAACTCCTTCTCTCGAGTATGACAAAGATGAAGCATACTCTTAAATCCGCGTAAGTCCACTAAGAAAATACACCGAAGTCAGCAACAAAGGCCTTTAAAATCATAATTTTGTTGTTCGTAACAGACTAAGGTAATCCTTCTGACCGGTGGAAGAGCAATTCCTCAGCATCGATAACCAACAATTTTAATCAAAACAAGCCTAGCCAATAATCTCTCCATCCATGCATGCCAGTCAGTGTCCTCTTCCTTCCAACACAATCCCCCAACTCAAACCCTTCTCCCTATCTGTCACTGACCTCCAGGCTTTTCTGCAGTCCTGGCGTGACCTCCGACTGGTCCACAGTCTCGGCAGAGGTCACCGCCGATCGGCGCTGTTCGGCTACCAGCGCTCCGAACGGCGTGGGCCGCACCTGGCCACCTATGACGTCAGCAGACGGGACGGAGCCGGCCGCGCCGCCGGCCGCCTCCGGCACGTCGAGCGTGTGCAGCGCCTGGGGAGGACGGGCGGGGGTAGTGAAATGTACATTGTACACTTTGAGTGCACAGCTGCGAAGAAACACAAAACAGCCAGACTATTTCTGTCCTAAATATCAGCTCACAGGTCGACTAAATCACTACATGACACGACGAACAGGCCTGTGTGTGTAAATATTTTTTGTTGATTGATCCCCTTTCTATGAAGACTGTCCACACTGAGCGCTGGCCGGGCAACTGTAATCCAACCAATGTGTTCCGAAGCCTAGCACCGATCTACCTCTGACCAGAGAGCGTATCATGATCCGTGTGCTCTCTAGTTTCGGTTCAGTTATCCCGGCCCTGTTTCCCACCAGTCCCCTCACCTGCTGGTCATTGAGAAAGAAGAGCTGCGAGGCGCGCTGCCACTCGGGCAGGTCGGGTCGGGGCCGCTGATGGGGTACAAAGCAGGCGGCTGACACGGGTCGCCCCAGCGCCGCCTGGTGGACGGGACGCGTACTACTCGGACGGAACACAAACACTGTTGAAAGGGCGGGGAGGGGAGCGTTAATGCGACAATGGCAACCACAGTGCAAGCACAGCTGGGTGCGAGTAAATGAACGTAAAATGTGACTTCAGACTCATTGGTGATACTGATGGGTGTTTTGGATACCGCTGAGATACAAGCGACCTGAGTAAATGAAAATGACAGAGGGCATGAGGATAAACAAACACATAAACGCATAACTGCATAGCTATAAGAATTATCACTACAAACCAATTAAATAAACCCAAGTCACGGCACGCGTCAACAAAACTCGTTGATTGGAAGCAAAACAAAACAGCCGTCTCACACCCACCCATAGCCTACCAAACCGACCTGCCCCCCCCCCCACTTCTCACCTTTATTTGAGGCGCTGAAGGCGGCCATATACTCTGACAGCGGATCGGCCACCAGTGACGTCACGTGCACGTCAATTCTGGCCGTCAGTGTGAGCGACTGGAGACTCCACACGCGGAGACCGGAATCAGTGCGACTGACCAGCAGGTGGGAGCACTCGCCGCGGCCAAACGCCACCTGCCTGAGAGGGGGGAGGGGGAGGTCAAACGGAGATGTGGCAGGAAGGCTGTCACACGGGATGGCGTAGGGGGAATTAAGGTGGTAGTGGGACGCTGCTTTTTGCATTCGTGTGAGGGGAATCGAGTTTCACCAAATTAAGTGAGCCCAGATTGAGCTTGAGAAAATTTATTTCAGAAATCCATCCATCAACTAGCCCTGACAACACTCACTCTTCTCCTCCTCTAATTATATCACACACTTCCCTCCTTCTCTCACAGCATCACCCGCCCGATGTCCTACATCACCATGCTGAAGTCACGTCACACCACCCGACTTCCCATCATACCCATCTGACGTCAGCACGTCCCCCATCACTCACCTGACGTCAGCATGCCTCCCATCACACTCACCAGACGCCCCCATCACCCACCTGACGTCAGTACGTCCCCCCATCACACCCACCTGACGTCTCCGCGCACGGTCACGTTGCTCAGCGTGTGCTGCAGTGTGTTAGTGGTCGGCGCCCACACGGTCACCGAGGCGGCGAACCCGACGGCCAGCCGCTCACCGTCGGCGGAGAAAGCGGCACAGCCGGCCGGCAGCCGGTGGTGGGAGCCCACCGCGTCACAGCTCCAGCACCGCTTCGCGCCTGGGGGAGGGGGGGGAGGGGGAGATAATATGTGTAGCTAGCGGACACTGCTGATGGCTGGTGTACGTCCTAATGTCTACAGCCAAAGCAATGATTGCTTGACAGTCGCTGGGGTCTAAGCGTTTTAAATACATGGAAAATGAAAGCAATTTAACTCCCCATGCACAAATTAGGCAAATACTGCTATACTGTGTATCAGTTGGGCTAGTCAAGCTGACAGCAAAGCCATGGTACGTTCTTTGCAGTCCTATTTTCACATCAGTAGCAGCCAGCATCCGCTTACCATAGATATCCGAGTCGTCGACCAGACTCCAGTACTTGATGGCGCCGTCGGTTCCGGTAGTGACCGCCAGGGGCGCCACCTTCGCGGCGTCCCCGGGCTGGAACTCCAGTGCTGTGACGGAGCTCTCGTGAGGGTCCTCCACGCAGGTGTTCAGCACGAAACTGACGGCGGAAGGGCGGAACAAGGTCAGAAACGAAGGCATCAGCTGTTCGGCAGAAGGGCGACTACCGAGAGATCTTTAGTAAGCAAGGATAAGTTCATGTGCATTTTCTATGGATAAACGACAGATGTAACGCAATTAACGGAAGGATCTTGAAAAGTAACGTTCCTCAAAAGTTGCGTACGTCAAAGAAGACTCACAATCTGCTATTGTCCACGTTAAAAGCTATATCAGCCATAGGTAACTCAACTCACTCTTCACAACACACACATCTTGTCACCAAATATACAATGTACTCTCCCGACTCCTCTTCATAAGTCAGGAAGTCAATTAAATCCTGTTGGTTTTAGTCTAACTATTACCTCTGTTTGGTGTCGTCAAACTCCCAGATTTTGAGCCTCCTCTCTGCGGTGGACTGGCCGTCGTCCCGCTCCTCCAGGGTGGCCATCCAGGCGCCGTCTGACGTCACAGCCACCCGTGTGACGTCACAGGTGACGGGCGCCCCGGTCCGCTCCCGGGTCAGGTAATTGGTCTGAACCACGTCCAACTGTAAGGGGGGGATGGGGGAGGGTCAGACAGCGTTCGGGACTCGGATCATGGCGGTAAGTATTAGACAGAGTCTACCTGATTTGTGAGCCTTAACCTAGACTAAAGGTCCGTAAAAAAGTGAAAGTGGCAATTCTATGAAAAATTACATTTTCATCGATTTTGCACAACTGATAAGATACACTTACGCTATAAAGCTCCCTGCTGTCTCTCCCGTCCCACTCACACTATACACTAACACGTCCTACCCGTCTCTCCATTATTCTAATTCCACTCACGCTGCAGAGGTCCATCCTCTCTCCCAGCGTCCCAAGTCCATCTCACGTTGTAGAGGCCCCTCCTATGTCTTTCACTTTCAGTACCCATCTCACTCACACTGTGGATTCCTCCTGTGTCTCTCAGTACCTGTCTCACTCACACAGAGGAGCTCCCGCCTGTCTCTCGCTATATTATCTCTAGTTCCACTCACGCTGTACAGGTCCCTCCTGGTGTGCGGACAGAACAGCTGCAGGTGACCCACGGCGCCGTTCAGCAGCACAGCTCCGGAGCGGGGCTCCAACACCAGGCCGGTGGACGGAGCGCCGCCCGCGCCCCAGGTCAGGCCGTGGATCACCCGGGACACCTGGCGCTGAGGCGTCACCAGACGCAACACTGGGGGAGGGGGGGGGGGAGGGATCAGCTCGGAGAGGGCGAAACAGTTTCAAACGAACTACTCATCAAGCATTCGTGAAGTAACATTGGACCAGAACGCAGGTGAGCTTGGTGAGCAAAAAGAAAAAATACCGCAAAAAATAGCCAGACTTCATTTCGGTCATGTGACGGCCATTTCGGTTCGTAGGGTCACTACATCCAGCCTGATGAAATAATAATAATAAAGTTTTTTTTTTTAAAGATCACCCCGTGCCGCGCGCTCACCGTTGTCGCTGTGTGACGTCACTACCAGCTGATTGTCGGGCGACACGGTCACGTGACGTATGGCCATACCCAGGCGCGGCACAAATGATGGCTTCTCGTCGTGGGTTTGCCAGAAGACGAGCACGCACTCGCCGCCGCCGGAGACCAGGTATGTGCCTGTGGAGGGAGGGAAAACGTCAGTTGGAAGCATGAAAGATCGTCGGGGATAGAAGACGGAGGTTCAAGGGGCGCCATGTGAGGAAAATTATTATACCGAGAACATCGCCGAGCGAAGGGAAGATCGCTGGTGTGGGTGCGGTGAAGTGGAAAAAGGGCAAAACACCCCAATGAGAAGTATGTAATAAATAATCTAACAAAATAAATAAGATGCAATACACCAAACATAAAATTTCTATATTTCATTCTGCCGATATAACCAATTGTGATGTGTGCTTCCTAGGTGCAACGTGAACCAGCTCTGCACCAGCCACCCTCCTCACCAGCCCAAACACTCTTCCACCACTCAGCCATTCCCTCCCATACAACACCCACACACACTCACCCTCCGGCGAGAACCCGACGCTGGGCACGGGCAGTGTGTGCCAGTGGAGCACGGAGCGGACGGGCGGCTGGTCTCCGGCCAGCAGGCGGCGCCAGAGCAGCAGACGGCCGCTGGAGTCACCGGCCGCCACCGTCGCCTCGCTCGGGTGACATGCAACGCACGTGAACGGACGGTCGGCGTCCGTGCGGAGACTGCGGGAGGAGGCAGGGAGAGGGGTGAGGCCGGGGCGTTGTTACGCGAGACCATGTCAGCTCACTGCTCAACATCCCCTAGACGATCACAGACAAAGTGAAATAACCACACCTTTCTCACACATCCTACCCACCTGCTGTATTTCTGTTTGGCGGCCGAGTCTTTGTTCCAGAGGTTCCTGACGAGCAGCTCGTTGCGTTTGACGATGGCGGCCACCAGTCGGCCCTGCCAGCCGCAGTCCACCTCCCAGCGGCCGGCGGCGCCGCGGCGCACCTCCCGCAGCACCGGCCGCGCCGGCCGGCCCTCCTTCTTGGTCGGCTGACGCAGCAGGTCGGCCAGCGGCTCCTCAGTGCCCGGTCCGCGGACCAGGAGCAGAGGCTTCGACCAGCCGGCCGGCCGCACCAGGCCCGCCACCGTGCTGCCCTCTGTCAGCAGATGGGAGAGGCTCCACTTCTGCAACCCACCGCCAGGGGCGCCAGTCAGTCAGGTGTCAGAAGGAAATGCAATCTGATATATTAACATTTCCTGAGTGTTTCTCTGTTGTGCTCTGTGCTCTGTTGAAAGTGGAAATATGTGAATGAAACAACTGGCAGCAACATAGTGCCGGCAGTGATTGCTGATCAGAAATGTGTGATGAGCAACCCTTGAACATGTATTTAATTCCACTCCCTTCTTTGGTAAAAAATGAGCTACCAGCGTTCACAATTCAAAGCCAAACACCCACCTTGAGGGAGGTGGCCAGGACAAAGTCCCACAGGATCATGGAGCCAGAAGCATCAGCTGTTATTAGCTGCCTGGGATTGGATGGCTCTGGTGAAAGGGCCACAATGGGGTGCGCCCCCTCCAGACTGCCGGCCAACTCTCCCGTGGCCACATTGTAGCCATGCACCGCTCCATCATTGATGACAAACAGGAACCTGGAATATGCATGTCAATTCCAATCAGTCTGATGGATATACTTAACCAGAATGCATAATACAATCAAAGACAAGGATAAATGAAATATACAAGCAAGATTATACAAGAGCATCCTGATCCACTTTAAAGGGACCCTCCCACCTTCAAAAAAGTTAATGAATTGGCATGAAAGTGATGTCGCTCGGTTCAGAAAGATCAAAAACGAATATCTACCAAATTTCATCGAAAAATATTCACCGGTTTTCAAGATATTAGACTTTTACTTTTGTTTACTTTTTGGGATCTCCGCTGTTCCTAGCGACTTTATTTGAAAGTGCGGCATTTGTTGCGCGCAAAGCAACATATACCACCGCGTGCTACAAAACGTTTTAGTCAAACATTTAACGGACGTTCGAAAGCCTGATGACGTCATCAGATTCCCGTAATGGTTAAGAGATAGGGACCAAGCTGGTCCCACCCTGCAAGTAAAGGGAAGAAATTTCTTGAACACCATAAAGCTGGGGGGGTTGCGACCAGGATAAATGGTGGTTTCTGAGCATGGCCGCAAACTTGGCTATCTCAACTCAAAACTAATGTTAAGGTGGGAGGGTCCCTTTAAGCCCCTAGGCACACAAGGACCAACTGATGACAGGACAGGACTGATGTGACTACACATTTACTTGTGTGCACTCTTATGTTAATCAGGAGAAATAGTAAAAACAACATGAATAATTAATACCTACAGTCTTAAATAATCGGAGAACTCAAAATGCTTTTTCTTCATTCAAATTGAGACAAATTCAGGTAAATGTCTATAAAAAATCCAATATTGAAATAAGATAAAATACTCAGAGCAAAAAGTAGCATGACCAGGCATAAAATGAGCACTTACTTAGAATCAGCACAAAATGATGGCTTATCATCAACAATGCTTCCCCCAGCTACCTTTACTTCTTCCAGCTCTTTAACCCGCTCAGTTAAGTCATCTTTCACAGTACTTGTACTTTCAGCCGTGTCAGAAGTCTTCATGGTCATAGTACAAATGTTTCAGATCAGAACAATAAAAATATTCCATAAAATATCAAAACAACACTTTTGTTTTGGATCTCGGAGGGGTCGGACGTGTCCATCGAGCTCCCGAGATTTCCATTTACCGTCCAGATTCTATCAGCCAATCACTTCCTTCCTGTGTGACCTTGGCATAGAGCGCGGCTTCGTAACGACGTGCAACTTGAATTTTGGAAAGAAGCTTGTCCAGTTCAAAAGTATATCAAGATAAATTCCAAAAATATCTGTACGCTCAATCATGTCGATGACCCGAACTCCACCGCCAAAACTTCAAATGAGAACACGATCATCACTACAAGTGGATAACGCGCCACCATCGCCGCCGGGCGCGGGACGCCGTGAGGAAAACACGGAAGCGGGAAAACGTGGTGCTTCGACAAATGAAAGTGGAAGTGCAGGTAATGGTAAAGTGATCGGGCTGCTAAAAGGTGACAAGACCCCGGGCAAGGCCGGGGAGGCCCAGAGGGATTCAGGTGAGACAAATGACCGCATTTCTAACACAACCGCAACTAACCGCGAGGAGGCAAAAGGAAAAGAAGTAGGTAAACTGAATGCCAGTGTCTACACTCCATTTGGTAGCATGACGAGCATTAGCCGCTCTTCAAGCGACACAAGCGAGTCAACCAATGAATCTGCTACATGCCAGGGTGGCCCCGGAAAAGCCTTGTGCGGAATGCAGGTGTTGGATGGGGATAAAGCCGTCCAGTGCGACTGGTGTGAATCCTGGTATCACATCAAGTGCCAGGCTATTCCGAGGAAGGCCCACGATGCCCTTGTGAATTACAAATGTTTGTCATGGCTTTGCGATGCATGCAAAAAGCAGGGGCCTGGAACGGGGAACAGGACTGATCCCACTCAGTCACCAATCGGTAAGGCAGACGCACTGCAAAAACTAGAAACAAAAGTCCAACAGATGGCTGACTCAGTGCGCGAGCACATGAAGGTCATCGTTCAGTCCATCAAAGAACAGGAGAAAACTACCATGGATCACTCACACCTTCTTGAAAGAGTCTGTAAAGAGCAAAATGCCCAGAGGGAGTCTTACGCTGACATCGTTCGTGGAACATGCGAGAAGGTGGTGAAGGATGTGGGTGCAAAAATTGACATCCTTCCAACCCAGCCCAAGACTGACCGCAATGGTCTATCTGAAACCACCAATGCTATGTCACGAGTGTTCGACAGCTTCATGGACAAAGAGAGAAGAAAACTAAATGTAGTGGTACATAACCTGCCAGAACAGGAAGGGGAGACGCTGTCTGAGAGAATGGAAAAGGACCTTCACCTCTTCAAAGAAGTAATCAAAGAAGGCATGAGCCTAGTCATCAGGCCAACTAAGGCATTCAGAGCTGGCAAAAGGAGTGACGAAAGGCCCCGGCTTCTCATTGTTTCTCTAGACAGCATTGATGCAAAAGCAGAGGTACTGAGGATGGCTCCACAACTCAGACACCTCTCAACATGGAAGAGGATCTATGTCACCCCTGATCTCTCAAAGAAAGACAGGGAAGAAGGAAAACGGCTCAGGGAGGAGTTGGCTGCTCGTAAGCTGGCAGGGGAGGAGCACCTGACTATCAGGAAGGGGAAGATAGTGAGGATGAACAACAATGAGGCTACTCATTCTCACCCAAACTCTTCGACTCACCCAGCACCCAACCCCAACCCCAGCTCAAGCACTTTGAAACAGGCTGACAGACCTGCGAACGCCCAGCCTAACCAAACAGAGTCAGCACGGCCACATGCTGACAGCAACCAAAATTGACTATATGGGTCGGGTATTAGTGATCAAGCAAAGCAAATCAAAGTCATTTATACAAATGCCGATCAGTTAATCAACAAGAGGGACGACCTGTCTATGGTAATTGCACAGAATGAGCCTGATGTCATTCTCATCACAGAAGTTGTTCCTAAGGCCCAGATTCTTCCTATTCACCCTGCTCTACTGGCCCTCCCCAAGTACAACATTTATGTAAATGTGGACCTGTCAAGACCCAATCTCGGGGCGAGTGGACAACGAGGTGTGTGCATATATGTAAAGGAGCACCTGCCATCTCATGAAGTAACTCTTCAAACGAACCCACCCACATCCATGGAGCAGATATGGATTATGATCGACCTTCGCAATGGGGACAAACTCTTGATTGGGTGTATTTACCTGAGTCCGTGCGGAGACAGACATCTGGGCATAACTGAGCTGGATAGAAGTCTGTCACTGGCTGGAAATTTGAGTCCTTCTCACATTCTGGTAGTCGGAGACTTCAACGTTCCACAGATTGACTGGGCGTCCTATTTCTCAGACGAGCCCCCTGGACATCATTCTCATGCACTGCTCTCATGTGTGCAAGACCATTTTCTTACCCAGCATGTCACTGCACCAACAAGGTATCGTTTAGGTCAAATCCCAAGTATGCTTGACCTCATCTTCACCAACGAGGAAGGGATGGTACAGGACTTGCAGCACTCACCAGGTCTTGGCCTCAGTGACCATGTCATTCTGGAGTTCAGTCTGAAATGTTACACTACGAAAGGGATCCCAATCGGTCCCCATCTGAACTACAACAGAGCCAACTACAATCTACTGAGGAGTGTGCTCCAAGATGTGGACTGGACTGTGATGCATGATAGCAACGTGCATCGCGCCTACCACTATTTTGTGAGCTCCCTCAGAGAGGCAGTTGCTCGTACAGTGCCGGTGACGCACCACAGACCTAACAAGAACCTGTACATTGATAACCGAGCGCAGAGGCTCAGGCGTGAGAAAAGCCTGCTTTGGAATATGTATGCTCACACCAGGGACCCTGTGGACTACGCCAGGTACTGCCGATGCAGGAACAGACTGAGAAAGCTTACCAGAGAGCTGAGACGTACCTTTGAGTTCAGACTGTCAAAAGAGCTAAAGGACAACCCAAAGGCCTTCTGGAAATACTCCAACTCGAGACTCAAAACCAAGGTTGGCATTGACGCCTTGAGAGATGAGAACGGATTGGTAATCAGAGATGACGTCACAAAGGCTAGCATCCTGAACAAGTACTTTTCTTCGGTATTTACCAACGAGGATGCCTCTGTTATACCATCTCTTGCTCCACCTGGCCAGTCACTGAACCTTCGCGACCTGACGGTCACGGCCGACATGGTTAAACACAAGTTGATGCGACTCAAGAGCTCTAGCTCCCCAGGGCCAGACAGAATCCACCCTAGGGTCTTGATCGAGGCGGCTGCTCAGCTGGCGGTCCCACTATCCATCATCTACAACAAGTCCATTCAGTCTGGCTGTCTTCCAGACGACTGGAAGCTTGGCACCGTAGTACCTATTCTGAAGAAGGGGGACAGGCTGGACCCAGGCAATTATCGCCCAGTGAGCTTGACTGCAATTCCTTGCAAGGTACTTGAATCCCTGATCCGAGATCATCTCATGACTCACCTGGAAGAAGCCAACCTCCTATCGAACCACCAGCACGGCTTCAGACCACAGCGATCCTGCATGACCCAGCTTCTTGAAGTGCTGGATGAGTGGACCAAGTGCATAGAGAATGGCGAACCAGTTGATGCGGTGTATCTCGACTTCAGAAAGGCTTTTGACTCTGTGCCACACCTGAGACTCCTGAATAAACTCGAGGGATACGGTATCACAGGAAGGTTAAAGGGCTGGATTGCCTCCTTCCTATCGGACCGGCGTCAACAGGTGGTGATCAGAGGACACTGCTCGCCTTGGGTGCCTGTGACCAGTGGGGTTCCTCAAGGGTCAGTCCTCGGGCCAATGCTGTTCATCATATTTATCAATGACTTACCCGAATCCGTGCAGAGCTCCATCAAGGTCTTTGCAGATGATACCAAAATCTTCGGAACACCATCGTCCACTGGAACAAGCTCAATCCAGCGAGACATTGAAGAAGTGGCCAAGTGGTCGGAGAAGTGGCAACTGCCGTTCAATGAATCAAAGTGCAAGGTCCTTCATCTCGGCCCTAGGAATCCTGGGCACTCATACACCATGAATGGTCTCCAGCTGAATACGGTTGAAGTAGAGAAGGACCTGGGGGTTCAGCTGGATTCTGACCTGAAGTTTCGTAAGCAGGCCGCGTCTGCAGCTGCAAAGGGCAACCAAATGCTCGCACTGATAAAAAGATCGTTCATTTGCATTGATGCGACTACCCTGCCGATTCTCTTCAAAACGCTGGTACGACCCCATCTAGAATATGGGAACCTCATCTGGGGGCCCTTCAACCGAGCTGATCAGAGGCTGATTGAACGAGTGCAGCGGAGAGCAACCAAACTGGTCCGTGAGCTAAGACACTTGCCCTACCAGGAACGCCTCCGGCGACTCAAGCTCCCATCACTATATCACCGAAGACGGAGAGGAGACGTAATCGCCATCTTCCAGATTTTGACGGGAGGAGTCAACGTACGGCCGGACCAGTTTTTCGAGCAGGCAGTCTCATCTGTCACCAGAGGACATGCTCTGAAGCTGCTGAAGCCTCAAGCTGCTTCAAGACCCAGGAGACACACTCTGTCGGTCCGCGCCATCAACGACTGGAATGCGCTTCCTGCCTCTGTGGTCCTCTCTACGTCTGTCAATATCTTCAAAGCCCGTCTCGACTCTCACTGGGGTGATGCATCCTTTGACATCCCAGCCCAAGATTCATGACTGTCTCTAGTAAGGAGCTCGATGAGATCAGATCCCTACAGGCCTTATAGGCCTCAAAATTCTGTATTGGTAAGGTAAGGTAAGGTAACATTCTAACCCTTGACCCACACACCACCAACAACTTGAACTCCGAGTACAGTGCACGTGCGTCGCTCGTGCGCAGTTTATGAAACATTTTCTGGGGACTTTCATTTAGTACGCGTTCGTACTAAGATATTTCAGATATTTTTCATCTTTTTGAGTTTTGAGTTTCGCGTTTAGGTTAATGAAAATATGGTATAATGAATAACTCTAACATACATATTTTAGGCAAAAATGTTAAAATTTTCACATATAGAACTTCTATACCTAATAGAAGCGATGCAACTAAGAGTATTGACATATTACTATGCATATTACATAAGCTTCAGAGGAAATATCATAAAAATATGATCTATGGGGAAAATATGGAAAAGTTCTCTATATACCATGGAAAATATAATGGAAACCAGCCAAGCCAAAGAAGTGATTCTGGCCAAAGTTCTAGGTGACAGGCAAATGACGTCATCTAGGTAAATTATTTGATTATCTCTTCTGAAGCTGATCATAATTAAGTTGAAACAGTGCTTGATCGAATATCCATGGAATTTTTATTATTCACTGCAACGCATATCTTCTTTTCCCATTTGATTTCCTATTTGATTTCATGACCTTGAGGGCCCTAGCAGCGTAAACATTGGATTGTCCAATCAGAGTGCGCCAAATCCTCGTAGAGTTTGTGTGAAGAACCATTCGTCGTTCCTTGGCCGAGTTTCGTCATAGGCGTTGGACCCGGGATAGAGTTTGTGTTGAGCTGTTATTTATTTCCGAACATTTTTGTTCGGGTTTCGGTGGCGGTGTGCTGTCGGGTTTCGGTGGCAAACAGGTTCGTCAATACTTTGTCCGTTTACCAAGGTATCACTCTAATCGAGCCCTTTGTCTTGCTTCAGGTGTCTTGTCACTTGGTTACACATTACACAAATACATTGAGATTATATATCTATTCCTGTGCTTTTGTATGTGTCATGACATTACCTTTGTTATGCTACTAACTGAAGTTAGGCTAGCTGCAATTATGCTCATTGGAAATGCATACATTAGGTAGGTTGCATTTCAATTATTAAAGTACCTACTCGTCAGCATCCATATTCATTCTTTTTTTGCCTTGAAACCTACAAAGTGACCTAAGATGATGTTTTCAGCTAATAGCAGTCAGCCATGCTAGATACACCAGACATCACTGTTTTGATCAAGGCTCCAAACCAGAAGCACGACGACCATCCTGTGCAGTGCCGAGGGACTTGGACAGTGCAGCAGCTCAAAGGACATTTGGCAGAAAACTACCCCACAAAACCAGTAAGTGCTAGGTTCCCTGAAAGTTTTGCTGTATTTATTGAATCCAGCATACTACATACATGTAACATGTCAAAAACAAGGGTAAAATCAACAGAAACAGCCTAAGGCCATGCCAGGCAAGGCAATCCCAACTTGACATTGGGTTATGGATATGCAAGCTCTTGACAACTTTAACTGTGGCCAGGAACTGCCATTTCTGACCTGTTCTGTCTCTGCAGCCCTGCTTGCGAGTCAGCATAGTGCCTCACAAAATCCAGGACTCTGTGTATGGCAGTGTGTTGGTATTGTTTATCTAACGATATGTTTGTGACCGGCAGACGCTCCGGGAGCAGCGTCTGATCTACTCGGGCCAGCTGCTGACTGACGACAGCCGGCTGGGGGACGTCCTGCGCCGCCATGACGACGACTCCACCGTCCACACCGTACACCTGGTGTGCGCGCCGCCGGCCGAAGCCGCCCCCTCACACGCCGGGGGCGGCCTCCGACACAGGCGCCAGCAGCAGCAGCAGGCGGCGCAGCAGCCACAGCCTCAACAGCCACCACAGCCGCAGGTCAGTCTCGGCACACAGCTCTGACCGGCGGTGGTCCAGAGTCGGTATCGTGGCTTCCGGTGTGTGTCCAGTGTGTGTTCGTTATCGCTTTCGGTGTTGAGTCCGCGGTAATACCCCCATGACCTTCCGTGGATCCTTCCATCCAGAGAACAATGTGTGTGACGTCGAAATCATCGGTCTTGCTTGATCGCGTCGCTAGCGAGCGCAAACTTGGAGTGTTTCGCTTCGAACTAAACAACCTACAAGCAAACTCAATTTTTAATCGTACGCGACATGCCTAGTGCCTATCGATTTTTATTTTATCGTAAGCCTGGCACCGCCAGTCGTCAGAGACATCATCTGTTTCTGCCGCGGCCGAGTCCCGGGGCGCCGGACTAACCCAGCTGATAGTTCTCACAGGCCTATGGTATCTCCGTGCTGTGACGTGCATTAATGCACGTCACAGCTCACTACGCACCAATTGGTGCGTAGTGAGTGGGCTGATGCATGAGAATATGACGAAATATGACGGAGCGGGGATGCGCTAATCGCTAGCTGTCATGGGTTCGATGTAACGAGTGTCACAGGTGCTATTTGAATAATTAGAGCCAACACCTGTTGACATTTACAGCCAGCCTAAATAGCATAGGGGTCTTTCGTTTCAACTAGTGCTCAAATCTGATGTGCTGTTTCGGGAAACTCGCGGAGATTTTCGCTTATATTTAGCGACCTTGAAGCAGCAATGTAGTTGTTTCTACGCATACGACTATCTTCTAGGCGTACGGTATCAGTACGCATCAGTTTCAGTGCGGTATCAGATCAGTGCGCCGATAACTTTCGAGTCAATTACGGGGCGAATTTCTACTCGACTCTATCTCGGTTTCTGCGCTAACAAAGCGTATCGCAGGCTTATGTTGGTTGCTATGGCCGGGGCACTGTAGGTGCCGAGGAAGGGGAGGGGTGCGTAGGTCAGGTGTTTGAATAGCGGCCAGTCACGATAAGTGGTCACGGTATGTGACTGCTGGAGCTAGTGAAACTGGGGCGAGAGTGTTCGGTACACAAATCGGCTTCGCTTTCTAACCCCGCTACGAGCTGAAACGGGGATGGTTTCCCTATCGTTATCTGCACTGATTCGGTCGGTTTGGACATCTGGTAGCGACTATTTGTGGAGTTTCTACTTTTGCATCGTGATTTCCGCGATGAAATAGGATAACTCCGAATAAAGGGCGTGAGACTCTGTATCAGGTAATTGTTTGATATAACAACGATAGGGACGTGCTACTGCCTTGATCCATCTGATCATTCGGGGATCATACTCATATCGCACGTATTATTTCATTTTCATTCTGCACCTTTTGGCATAGACTTTTGTCAGAAAGTGCATACCTATAGCACTGCGTTATGCCGTGCGTATAGCTTTAATCGCTCCGCTACCTACCACCATTCCATCCCCATCACAAGTCATCTCCCCTCCATATTTAGTTGTTCGCGAACACACGCTAACCTCCCATCCCCACACAGTGCACCGATGAGTTCTAATCCACCGCATCCAACCAACCGCAGCTACTGGACCGTTCCCGTACGGCTGAACCCACTCACTTTTAATGCCACGGTGACCCAGATTGGTGCTGGCGGAGCGCCGGCCTCCCTCCCGTGACCGGCCCAGTCCCGATTTCCCCGGGCTATCTCCGAGAGAGAGGTGGAGAAGAGGAGAATGGGGTTCAGAGGCTTCGACTGGGGCGTGACGGTTATGTTGCTACCCGCAATTCAATAACATGTTTCGAGATTAGGTTCTTGTATGATGCAGTCTCTGAAGTGGATATTTGTGATCATGCCCAATATGTGATTTTTCCGATAATGTCCTGTTTTGTGCAACTGCGCAGTTAGTGCCCAGCTGTGTGTTGACATTTTCTAGGCTCTACAGCTGTTGTGGTCGTCTGGCCTTATCTGTGCACCGCCGGCCGAATGCCTCTCCCGTCATGACGTGGTGCGCAGGCCGCGGCCGTGGCCTACCGTCAGCCGTCACGGCCGGGCCGCGCTGCCCTCCGTCCGTGTCCGCTGACCTTGCCTGCTGGCCGGGTTCACGGCGCGCTGCGTCATACCCTCCCCTCCCCCTCCCTACCCCCGGCGGAGCGGTCCGTTTCGTCACAGCTGACTGTTTCGCGCCGCGCCCGCCAGGCGGCTCTAGCTCCCGGCCGGGCACACTCGGCTGACCGTGTTTCCCGCTGTGTCCGCCAGGTGGCAGCGGCTGCGGCGCCGCCGGCCGGCGCGCTGCCGCACCAGTACGACCTGGGTCAGTGGGCGCAGCAGCTGCACGGCGGCCACCACCAGCTGCTGGCCATGCAGCACATGTACTCGCAGTACTGGGCCCAGTACGCCCAGATGATGCAGTACGGTCCGGGCTCGATGCCACTCATCTGGCCCCAGCCGACTCCGGTACCGGCCGCCGGGTCGGGACACCTCCCGGCCGCCGCCGCCGCCGCCGCCGCTCACACTCCGCCGCCCGCCGCCCCCGCCCCCGCCCCGGCGGCCGCCCAGCCGCCGCCACCCGCCCCCGCGCCGGCCGCCAACAACAATCAGAATGTTCGACTCAATGCGCAGGGTGAGTGGACTGAATGGCCGTTTTGTGCGGAGATTACGGCCGCTTGGTAGAACCCGACCCCAATCAAAATGTAATTCTTGATGAGGTTCCCACAATAGCAGGCCAATCTTCTGTAACGGCGTTAAGTACGTCCTGTGGTTTTCGCAAATGCATACTTTTTGCTGCCGAAAGGTGTTTTATTTTTCATTCCTCGCTACCGTCAAACGATGTCTGCCGGCTTTCCGCGCCCATCTATCGGCTACAGCCTTAAGTACAAGTTCCCGTTGTGTCCGCCAGGTGGTGTGATGGACGAGGAGGAGGACGCCGGCGGCCAGTGGGATTGGCTCGACTGGCTGCACGGCCTGGCCCGCCTCTCCGTGCTCTTCTTGGCCGTCTATTTCTACGCCTCTGTCTCCCGGCTGGTGCTCGTGCTCGGCTTCGGATTCCTGGCCTATCTGTGAGTAAAGAGTGGGGAGGGAGAGGTGGTAGAGAGGAGGATGAGTTGGGAGGTGGAGGAGAGAGGGTGGGACTCCTGGCTCCGCTGTGATTGTCGAGCGAGGGGTGGTTTCGTCGAGGAAAACAGCATCTGCCATCTTTGTATGGGTTTCTTAAAGTTGATTGTTTGGCTTCCGAAACACAGTATGACCTATGCTTCAGTGCCAGTACTTCTATTAGCCGCGTCATGGCGAAAAAAGACACTTCTCAGAAATGTCCACTCCATGCCCATCTGCTGGCTGATAATTCCTCGCGGCGTAATTTGCCCACCGATGTTGGACATATATTTAGCGGAGCTTCACTTGTTACAGGCCACACTTCCATATATCCAAGTAATAAACCATTTAGCTACCGGGCACGACCTTTAACGGTGTGGTCATGACACCAAACGGAAACGGTACGGTACATTTGTACCGCCTGGGAGTCGCGGTCACGTACCACTTACAGCACTTCTGAGTGAGTTATTTCTCTATGAAAGGCCAGTCGTCAGCGGCGGTGTTGTGCGACTCGCCGGTCCGCGGAGACTGGCAGAAACCTGAGCCGGACGAGCTGTCTACAGAAATTACCCGCCGCTCTGAAATGTTGGCCTTTAAATGTCAGTCAGGTTTGTAGTTCATATTGAGAAGGTTTCCGTCACTGAAAATCACTGAACGAATATGCTTCATGATTTCCCGGAACGAGCTCTGTTTCGACATTGTTTCATCATTTTATGAGTTTGGAGAAGTTAAAAATTGTTGGATGGAAGTGCAGTTACGTAAGTAGTTAGTAAGTACCGTGCTCATTGATATTATAGGACCATTTCAGGCAAGTCCATTATCTTGAAGAGAAAATTGCTGCTCAAAGTTAGCTCGTGTACCTGTACCTATGTCGTAATGGACGAATAATATGTTGGTGCGCTTAATTAATGACTTTTAAGAACTGTCACAAAGGTAGGACAACATGCTGGCAATGCCCACATCCATTTTACCCAGAAGCTTCCACGATGTGAGCATTGGCCCCGGTATTCCCGTCTTCATTGACATCAAACAGCTGCAGGATTGTCCACTCGCACATCCCGCTCTTCTGCCGACACAGTCCGTTCAATCATCACAAGCCGCTCCGCCCGCCTCTCTGAGCCGCCTATCTCGTCCTCATGACGAATCAATAAGCTCCCACGGAGCACGCGAGCGCATCCCTTCTTATCGTATATCTACGTACTTTGTCTCATTACGCCGTACCGAGGCGATCGATCGACCACTGTGATGTCTCCCCGACCAGGATATGATCCCGAGCAGGGACGGCTACTGGTGAGACCGTTCACTCGCAGATCATGTTGTGATTGTGCGGGATGGGGAAGGATAGTCGACATCTAACCTTGACGGATCTCTCTCTCTCTCTCTCTCTCTCTCTCTCTCTCTCTCTCTCTCTCTCTCTCTCTCTCTCTCTCTCTCTCTCTCTCTCTCTCTCTCTCTCTCTCTCTCTCTCTCTCTCTCTCTCCCTCTCTTTCTCTCTCTCTCTCTCTCTCTCTCTCTCTCTCTCTCTCTCTCTCTCTCTCTCTCTCTCTCTCTCTCTCTCTCTCTCTCTCTCTCTCTCTCCCTCTCTTTCTCTCTCTCTCTCTCTCTCTCTCTCTCTCTCTCTCTCTCTCTCTCTCTCTCTCTCTCTCTCTCTCTCCCTTTCCGTCTGTTTTCCTTTTCCTTCATCCTCTAATTTTCCTTCCACCATGCCCTCTTGGGCTGAGGGTGCGTACGTATGTACCTATCTCTGTGCGCAGTATCCCTCTCTCATTGGTCTCCCCGCGGTCGTCCGGTCTTCTTTCTCCATTCATTTGCCGGCCGCCGGCGGTCCCTGCGGCCGTCTCGGCCGGTCACCTCGGAGCCGCTCGGCGCTGCGCGGCGCGCGCGATGATTGCTCGCTCGCCGGGCGGGGGCGGCCGTTCTGGACACTAACTGCGCGCTGTGTGGGGGTGGCGGACGGTGGACGGGTATCGACCTGGGGACCGACCGACCAGCCGTCCGACCGCCGCGGCGGTGATACACTCCCCCGGGCTGGGTAAGGGTGGGAACAGGGAGAACAGGACACCGTGGTATACACCAGATCCAGCCGCTGCAAAACATGCGGAGATGGACAATATTTCGCGGGGATTATGATCATACGATCCTGCTCCTGTAAATGACCCGTTGATTGGCGTGGGCGTCTGTACCTATAACAGCATGGACATCATTAACGGCGTCACAAAAGCAGTTTGGAGTAACTGAGCCGGTGTTGAGTTCCACAGAAGTACCAAAGTTTGCTGTTGATGCTAATTTGCAGGAGACTCTTCGTTGGGGCTTTTGTTTTTAGCATTCGAAGTTTGGTGAGATACGAGCCCAGACTGAGCTATATGCGTCACAGTGGTTGTCTCACACGATACCTTACCTCCCTAATTGTATGGTGGGGAGGTGGGGTAGGGTACAGGTAGTAATCAGCAAGATTGGACGGCGTTCTTCTGTGTCTTGGGTCCGTGTTGCGCCACTCGCACCCTGTATAGCACCGGTGACTGAATAGCCCAGTGGCCAGTGGCTGTTGACCTTTCAGCTCCGGGGTCAACCGTGCTTGCCAAGCGATTATCCCTCGCGGCGGGCATATAGACACTAGTACCTACATCCTCGTCTGTTTGTTCCTGCGCCGACTGACGGCAGTTTGGGGCTGCCTCTATGAGTTGCCGTCGAACACTATTTTTGGCTCCTGCAGCGCTGTGTATCACCCCGTCCTACCCTCGCTCGCCTCCCACGCACGGCGCACGTCAGCCGCGGCGATCACACTCGAGGGAGCGCCTGAACGGCTGGAACGAACGCCGTCCCATTACAGTCGGCTCGGTGGACGGGAAAATCGACCGCCGGTGTGTGCGGCGGATGCGGGAATGGACGCCCGGAATGGACGGAATGGATGCGAGAATGGGTGTCGGGGTGGGCGGCGCTGGTGGTAGTGTTTGTGAGATGGTGTTCGGATGTCGTAAGACGCGCTAGAACTCTGGTTGTGTTGGTGGAGAATTAGCCGCGGTATTTTGGTAAAATGCGTGTGTAGAATCCATGAGATTAAAAAATGGCTGTTGCTTCGTGGTGCGATACAACCGTGATGTTTTTTGAGTGGGTGATGTAATCATTGGCTCTACGTTCCCCAATGTTTGTATCACAGTCGTACCTTTTTGTCCTCAAATAGCTTTGTTGTGTTCACCTGGCACCAGTGCTGCATTTTTTATCGCCGCTAGCTTGGTATTATTTGTGTCGAGTCCACTGACGTCCCTCCGTTCCCCGGTGTGGCCGGCCAATGGTGCTGTTTATTACTGCGATGTGACGCCGGCTGTCCCGCCAGAGTGCGTGAGCTGCGTGTGTGCCGCCCCTCCCGTCCCCTCCCGACCCTTTCTAGTCCGCTCGGCTCGACAACGATGGTGATTCGGCGTCCCACCCACGCAGTCGACGGACCGGGATTTACCCCTGTCGTCGGCAGGGCTTCCGATCCGTCAGACGGCAGAGTGGCTCCGCTGCGGTCTTATCGCCTGTGTGGGTGGAAATGGAATTCGCTCTGAGCGCCGTATAATGTCACAGGCTTAAGCGACATAGCTTTAGCACCATCATCATCATCGATGGGAATCGTGGCGTGCCGAGCTTCGCTTCTGGTGCTGACGCGGTATGCGTGCCGTTTTCCGATTGAATTCCAATCGCGGGGAGATGGTTATGATAGCAGCTCATCGGCGCCGCAGTACGATAACCGCTGGTGCTCCGAACGATGCTCTTCTCTGTCTCGAAAACGGCCAGTCGCGTGCTGCTCTCACTCAACGGCACTACTTTTCATTTACTGCGCAGCTCTCAACCAACGAAACTTACACACTTCCTTTGGTCAAAAATGGAAGCGTGGGCGCCGATGGCCTGCCCAGTTTGTTCCTCAGCTTATAGTCATCACTATGAAACATTAAAGGAAGACTGCCACCTTCAAAAAGTTTTCTCAGATCGGCCTATGATTTATTCCCTGGACAAAACAAAATTTTAGAATTCACCTGACAAAGTATCATCACGTGAATCGCGAAAAAAATTGTCGATTATCTTACAATTATCAATCGGTTAATGTCTAGCGACAATGTTTACACATCACTAGACTTCAAGGTCATAAGATTATTACATTTTATTTGAAAAAGTAAGGTATTTTATGATTTACTAAAATATGATTTCATAAGAAATTGGCCATGTTTAATTTATTTTGCATTTAAGTTCGTAAAACATTTAAAAATCATGGCTCATTTGGAATGGGTCTGACCCATGTTAAACCCCATTTCCCACACTTTTTGGAAAAATTGAACTACTGAATATATAAGTTTAACTTTTATTTTGACTCTCCAAAATTCTTCTCTGATCTCGAAACAATCAAAGTTTTGACATATATTTACCAAAAGATAAGAAAATTCATGTTTCAAAGTTATCGATAAACAGTAGAGATGTCGGTTTTCTTGGACTAAAAAAATGGCATCAAACTGAACTTTGGTCTCCGATTTCTCGCAAACGGGTTCGAATTTCGGAAAACCGACTTCAATCTGGGACATAGGTGGCTCAGCTCTAGTGAAAACCGTTTTGTGGAAAAAAGGTGGCAGTCTACCTTTAAAACCCGGGTAGCGCATAGTTCAAACCTGGGACTTCTAACACACCCGCTGACCGCCGTGCTACCTCCGCAGGTACAACCAGGGCTACTTCCAGCCGGCCCGGGTCGCCCCACCACCCGCTCCGGCTGCCGCTCCGGCTGCGGCTGCGGCTCCGGCTCCAGCGGCTCCGCGGGAGGAGCAGCCGGGTGGAGAGGACGGTGGGGACGCCGGTCAGCCTCCCCGCCGGGAGGACGGAGAGGAGGAACGACGGGAGGACCGCCGGGAGGACGGAGAGCTCCGTGTCAGCGAGGAGCTGCGACGGGTGAGGAATGGGGACGGCAGCGAGGGACGGTGGATGCTCTAACCTGTACTGTCCCTCCCTGTCCTGACCCGTCGTGCCTGCCCTGCTTGTTGTGGCTTCCCTGGATGGTGGATGGGTGGGGGCGAGTTGTGGAGTACGAGCCGGGATATTTTGAGTACGGCAGTTTAGTAGTGTATAATGGAAGTTCAGGATCGTGAAAAGTTGAACATTCTCATGTTGTGACCTGAATAGATTCAAATGCGTTTGTTCGCTGAACTGCTGATGTTGATCTAAAGTCTTTTCATGATGGGAACATAACTTTGTGTATTTATGGTACCGTATAGTGCTTTTCCGGGTCATCTCATACAGGCTGCATCTCTGAGCTAATGTATCTTCAGTCGCTGTGAAACATACAGCCGCGTTCCTGGAACCCCTCAGGCATTACCGTCTTTCGAGTTTGAGACGCATCGATGCCCATTTCAATAGGGGCCTCTGTTCCATATATAAAGCCTTATATTGAAACGAGAAATCTTCCTCGGACATTAGCCTGGTAATTAATTCCGGTGAGTCTGTCTCGAGGAGCTCTATTCCCGGGCGGGGTCTGACCTTCGCCCGGTGACCTCCGACCGCTCCCGGCTGTCCGAGACGTTATGTTATACGACCGGAGGCTGGGACACCGCCGACTGAGCGTGACCTGACCTCCAAAGACACCGGTTACTGTCCTTCCTGGAGGCCGAACTCTGATCGGACGTGACACTCGGATCTTGTTGAAGGAATTGTCAAGTCAAACACTGTCTGCCGCCATCTGTACAACTCTGCTGATTCAACGCTGATGTGATTGTGTAACAATCACATTGCTTTACCCGTTCCTGGAGATTTTATCTACGCTGTGTTTTAATCTGGTACTAGCATTGGTCAAAATTTAGGATCGGTCAATAACCCGTCCTGCCTTTCCGACTTGCTCAACCCCCTCATTCCGCCCTGATCTTCCTCACCCTGCTCTGATTTTCTCTGTCCCTCCATACCGAACCCTTCCCTGTCTAAGCCTTCCCTGTCCAACCCTTCCCTGTCCTACCCTGCCCTGCCTCGCTCCTCCCCTACTCATTCCATGCCCTTCCCTGCCTCTGCCCTGCCCTGACGTATGTGCCCTGTTCCCACAGGTGATGGAGCAGATGGGCGTGGAGCCGCCGCAGCTGGAGAACCGGCCGCACCCGATCACACTGGCCTGGACCTTCTTCAAATCATTCTTCGCCTCACTGATACCAGACCGGATCGAACAGTGACGCCGCCCCCTGTACTCCCACCTACACTGAGTGTAAATTCGCTGTACGCGCCTCTAGCATAGCTCTGACACTAGGTTAGCGAACGCAACATAATTGTTTATTACGGCAAGGCGTTGTCCTGATATTTAACGTGGACGAACCGCTCCTTACCCACCCTGGAGAGCGGTTGGGTAGTCTGATGGGTGTGTAAAATCTCCGGCGGTAGTCTACCACCGGTAGTCGGTATCATGAGTTCTATTTTTGTGCCAGATGATTTTAGTTGCTCGTCTGTTGCGGCGGCGACGGAAGGTTTGTGTGATAGCTAGTCGGAGATCGGCCCGACGGGTCGGGTCGGCTCGGAAATGGTCCGCGGTATGTGGTGCTTTCTGAGAGAGAAAACTTGTCGACAGCGCGGGGGAAACGGACGAGACTTTCGGAGCGAGTCGGCTCGCTAGGGCGGCGTGTGGGCTGCTTTAGAGAGCGTCGGAAACCCCGACTTACGCCGCCACTGCTTGGGGAAATAGTTGCGGGCGTGTTGCTATTTAATAATCTAGATAAACTATATGTTCTATTACGATATCAGCTGACGACGACGTTCCGAGAAGCTTTTGACCGTGTGCCGTGCTCTTAGAAAATATCAGCCGGGAATATCACAGTTGTCTTTTAGGGTTTTGTGCCCCTGGGTGTGTCCTTTTTGAACGGCGAATGTTTCTCCATCCCTCTTTTCTCTTCCTCTGGCCAGTGTTCCATCTCTCCCCGGCTGCCCTCTCCCGGACCGGTATCTGTCTGTCTGTCTGTGTGTCTGTCTGGAGACCCGGCCGCCACCTCGCCGGCCGCCCGCCGTCTATAGTTGGCCGTCTCCCTGCGGACGGCAGCGCGGCTCGGCGGGGTAGGAGGCCCACCAGCGCACTTCTGGCTGTTCAATACACACGACTCAACACCACTGTCGTGGAAAATTAGTGTTTCTCTCGCCTTTCAACGAACTGAGTAGAGTCTGCTGAAACGACGCTTTTTATTGACGAAAAACGCAATATCGTGCTAGTGCTTGTTCAGTAGTGTCGACCAGAGGTAATCCTATACGACGCGGCTGAGGTTGACTTCGGATTATGGTCGGGCCGATGGCGTATGGCCTCTTGTCCTGCGTCAACGAACGTTTTGTGGACGTGTCATTTGTCGATGTCGCCTGTCAGTTTAGAATCGCTGGTGCGGACTTTTTGGAAATGAGGTTAATCCGCGTTGGGCCTAATGTCGAATGTCGTGCGTTGGAAGAGGCAGCAAGATATCTACAACCGTTGTTCTGTGGAGTAGCGATTGTGCTAGGTAGGCCAGGGGAACAAGTTCAATGTGGTATATCAGTGTAGTTTATGTGGGCTATGTAAGCGGACGATGAATAGGGATAGGCGGATTGTGGCTGGTGGGTGCGTGTGTACACACTGTTACTGCGGTATTGGTACTTGTAGCAGGACCAGTGGCAGTACTCTGTAAAAACGCCGTTGATGGGGCGCTAATGGCTGTGTCGTATGACGCTATTGAGTCGCCGGCGCTGCAGTCCGAGCCACGAGGGAAGGTCAGAAACTTTTACATTTCCATCATCGCATACCGCGAACACGTATCGCGTTTTTTCGTTACCTACTGGACTGGCCTCGCCCACTAAAATTTAAATCTCAGTTTATTTTTTGTCAAATGCCGCACCCAGAGTGAAAGTGTCACCTCTGTCACTGGGTTTGCTTCCAAGCTCCTCATGAGGTTCGTTCTGTGATGGTGAACCTAACGTTCTTGGTGTGGCGTTGTGGGTTGTCGCGTGCCGGCCGCCGGGCCACCGGCGCCAGCTGACCGTGCCTGAGGCCGGGACGGTCACGTGACTGGGCACCGGCGAGGGACCCGTTCCGTCTGAATACAGTCAGTCTAGACCGAGACCTCGTTGTGTTTCATTGGCGACGAGTGCGGAACCAGCCATGGCGTGGCTTGGGGTGCCGCCCGTGTTTAAGCGGAACGAGGAGAGCTTTGGTGCCTATGCCAGGAGGCTAGAACAGTTCTTTGTCGTGAACGATTTGCTTATTCCCGACGACAAGAAGGCCGCGGTTTCAGTGGACGCTAAGCGGCGTGCTGTGCTCCTGACTGCTCTGGAGCCGGACACATTCTCGCTCCTGGAGGACCTGCTTGCCCCGGCGGGGGTAGCTGAGGTGACCTGTGCCAGAATCATCGAGGTGCTCACGTCTCACTTCGAGCCGGATGAATCGGTGATCCTGTCACGGCACCGATTTCACACCTGCAGCCGGGAGGATACCGAGACGGTGTCGGCCTTCCTGTCCCGGCTGCGTCACCTGGCTCGGCCGTGCCAGTTCACCTGCTGTGCCGGGATACTGGAGGAGATGCTGCGCGATCGTTTCGTCAGCGGTATCCGGAATGAGCGCCTGCAGTCCCGGCTGCTCAGCGAGAAGAACCTCACTCTACAATCGGCTACAGCGATTGCGACAGCGCATGAGGCAGCCGCCCGCCAGGCCGGCGAGATCGCCCAGAGTCAGACGGGCCCGTCTGGCGAGTCAGCTGTGCACCACGTGTCCGGTGGGGAGCGGCCAGCGGCGGTCGGCCGGCTTCATGCGCCTGCCCGGGGTGGTCGGGCCGGTCCCTGCCCTCGCTGCCCTCGCTGTCTGGGGCGGGGTCACTCATCGGAGAAGTGTCCGTTCCGCAGGCGAGTGTGTTTCTCGTGTGGAAAGCTTGGACATACCCGAGCCGCGTGTGCGGCCACTCGACGTGCGGGCATTGACCAAGTGCAGTGTGACGCGGTTGATGTGGGGGCTGACGGCTCTCAGCCGGCGATAGTGCCATCGTCGGCCAGTGCTTCGGGACGTCCGGAAGGGGCAGCGGCCTCTGCCAGCGGGTCGGTGAGCGCGGCGGTGGAGGAAGAGGAGCTGTACTCGCTGTTCCGGTGTTCGGGCGACCGGCGCGCCCCGATCAAGCTGAACGTGATGCTGGATGATCGGCCCGTCTCCATGGAGCTGGACACTGGCGCTGCGCTGTCTGTATGTGGTGAGAGTGTTTTCAGACAGATTTGGCCTGATAACCCGCCCGTCCTGGGCAGCTGTTCGTACCGTCTCAGGACATACAGCGGGGAAGTGTTACCTGTGTGTGGGGAGGCGACTGTGCGGGTTCAGTATGGGCAGCAGGTGGTCCGGTTGCCATTGGTGATTGTGAAAGGGGAGGGACCAGGGGCGTAGGCAGGGGGGGGGCCACTGGGCCATGGCCCCCCCCCTTGGGCGCCGAAGGCGCCCTTTGCGATTGGAGGGCGCCGAAGGCGCCCTCCAATCGCAAATGCAATTGTGATATAATCGAATCGAAAAACAATCGCGACTGGAGGGCGCCCTCCAATCGCGAATGTGTTTACAGGGAAAATACGGATGGAGGGCGCCCTCGGAGGACGCCCATTCCAAATACGCCCTCCAAATACGGTTGGAGGGCTCCCTCGGGCGCCCTCCAACCACATTTGTAGGCTGTAGCTCTCTAAGCGTAACGGTGGTCGCCTATGTAAGCCGCTGTCCCGTAAATAAGCGCCCTCTCACCCGAAGGCGCCCTCCTGTAGGTCGCCACCCTGCTACATATTGCCGCCCTTCTGCTGATCGGCGTCCTCATAATTATTGGCGCTCTCCTACCTATTGCGCCCTCATGTGAAATTTTCAAGGCCGCCTTTCTCCTTTTTGGCACCCTATTGTTCAGTGCCGCCCTCCTCCCTATTGGTTCCCTAGTCCTTCCTGTTGAATGTTAATCGGGGCCCTTCTCTTATTGGCGCCCTCGTGTTGATCGCCGCCCTCCTAACCACTGGCACCCTCCTGTTGATCACCGCCCTCCTATCCACTGGTACCTTCCTGTTGACCAGCGCCCTCCGCACAGACGCCCTCCTGTTCGTGTCATCCTCTTGAGCAAAGGCGCCCTCCTCACCATTGCCACCCCATTTTAATCGTCACCCTTCCGCTCATTAACGACTTCCAGTTGATGACCGCCCTCCCACCTATTGGCGACCTCTTGTTGATCGCCACCCTCCTATTGGTGCTCTCCTGTTCCTCGCCACCCTCTTACCTGGTGGCGCCCTCCTGTTGATTGTTGATCGGGGCCCTCCTACCTATTGGTGCCCTCCTGTTGATCGCTGCCCTTCTATCCATTGGCGCCCTCCTGCTGCTCGCCAACTTCCTACCTATCGGTGCCCTACTATCGAAACTCGGGATGTTGATCGGGGCTCTCCTACCTATTAGCGCCCTCCTGTGGATCGCAGCCCTTCTACCTATTGGCACCATCCGTTGATCGCTGCCCTCTTATCATTTATTTACTCCTTTGGCATGTTTTTCAACTTAGTCGTTCTATTGCACATAGTTGATGTCTTGCCTGTGAAAACTGCCACAAATGAACGTGCATTCAGCACAATGAATGAAGTACCTATACCTACCAAAACTATCTACGCTCTACGATGCATAAAACACAAGGCCCTAAAACATAAAAAAACGATAAAACACGTCTTTGGTCTTAACGGATTGATCCTACTTTACGTGCATCATGACATCTATATGGATTACGATTAAGTATTGTCAACAGGTTCGGCCGCAACAGCAGGCATCTGAAGTTTCGGTGATTGAAACTGGTTATGTGGGTACACTGTATGCATCTGTGAGAAGGCTATGAAGGCTGGTCTGAGGTAATTTGGATGATGTTTACGCATCTCGCGCTCCGGTATCAATCCGATACGGTGATCTGGTGCGTAGATATGCCACCGCACGCTGGTCCAGATTCACGTAAGACCCGATCAAAAATAATATTTGCTGTTTTCGAATTTACTTATTCCAGGGTTATTTTTCTTTTGTTATGTTCCTGGGGAACCAAGATATGCTTTTAGTTTGGTTCCCGAGCCCTCTGATCAGGAGCAGTGCGCGTTTAAAAGTGAGGGTTTTTTACCCTCTTTGCATGCCGCTTCTCAGCAAGTGACGAGTTGTGCTCGTGTGCTCACCAGTGAACGTTCGTGTCTCCAAGTTTTTGTGGTACCTCCAGTCACCCAAGGATGGCAACTTCCCAACCAAGTGGTCGTTTCCCCTTTTGAGCCAATACTGGGAGAATTCACTTTGGTTGGAATCACATGTGGTCGTGCGGTCGCTTGTTGTTTGTTCATCGGATGAAATGGTACAGAAGGACAGCAAAGTACAAAATCAAACTCATATCATGTGATACCTACGACATCACTCTTCACTTGGTAGGAAAAGGTTTTGCTACTTTTTGCTACTTTAGCAGTTAATTAGATTTTCCCGTTTCAGATCCACTCAATGAGATGACGTCCCCCACCCGTCGGGAGCTTCTGGAGGCGATGCTGGGAGCCGGTCCCCTGATGTCGGACGAGGCATTGCAAGCTGGTGTCGAGTTCTTGTGTCTTTCGGTTCCTCCTGGACGTGTGCCTGACCGATCTGTCATCCGGGACGTCGTTCTTGATCACCGGAAGAGGATGCATCGACGCTGGGATGCTCCAGGAGTTCGACGGATCTTCGCGAAGATGCTCGACAAACATGCAGTCTGGCTTCTCGAATCTGTTCCAGTGGCGATCCTGGCACCTCCAGCTCCTGGGCAAGACGACCCGATGGATGGCCGCGGACGACCGTCGCAGATGCCGGCTGCCTTCACCCTCGTCTCCTCCCCCACCAGGCGCCGCAACGTGTCCCAGCTGCTCGACCAAGGATTCACCGGCGAGCAGCTGGCGTACGCGGCTCAGATGACTCTGAGGAAGGAGGGGAGGAAAACCGAAGCCGACATCATCAAGAAAGTGATTGCCGCAGACGGCCCGGACCCTACTGTGGTGCAGGCATCGTACCGCGGACCCCCTCCATCGCTTCCGAAAACGCTGTCGGCCGACGAAGCTCTCGTGTTGCTCTTCAACACCAACATGACACGAGCTGCGTACCAAGAGGCAGTGAGACATCCAAGG